TGCATTGTCCTTAACTGGTGGCAATCCCAAGACTTCAAGTTGATTTGTGCGCAAAAGTAGAGTCCTTACAGTATATGATGCAGAGATGCAAGACTCAACTTCTAACTGTGATCAAAGAAAACTCCCAGGTGGACCTGTTTTATCTAGCTTGGCCGGCAGGGCGAAATGTAGACCAAGTTTCCTTACTCCACACACACACCTCTGTTACCTAGCAGTAAATAGGAACCTGGATGTTAGTCGATTGGCAGATCTCTTTCCGGGATAATAGTTCCTTCAAAATAATAATAATAATTATTTGGTCACTCAATCCATGACTGTTTGTGGGACACTGCTGTGCGCAATTGACTGCCTCGTTTCAACCACAAAACACACAGCCACTAAACTTTACAGTGTATTCTGTGAAGTGCTTTGAGACATCTTGAAGACATGCTGCTATTTTAAATGCTCTTTGATGGGCAGGGCTTGCTTGGGCTGTGGTGGTGTTGGATGACTATCTTCACCAATGTAAAGTTAATTTTATCTTTAATTGAGCATCCATGAGCAAAGCACTCCTTGCAGATAAAGCCATTCCCATCTACAAAACCAAGTAGTGATACCAGCAGTCCTTTCAACTAAGGCACACAAATGTGTACTGGGATCCATGTTAATGGAGTTGAGGACAAGGCCTATATCGCAAAGCCATTCTGTTAGGATCTTTACTCTTCTCCTCCCCACCTATTCACCTTTCATTTTTAATTATTGTGCCTTGTGTGGTCTACAGCAATGTGTCGTGGATGATGAAAGAAAAAATATCTACTGTGGGATTGTCTTCTTCGAATTATAGAATCCTCCACACATTGTATTCCTCCCCTTCTTCCTTCTTCTCTTGTTACTTGGGGGTAGTTTGGTTTCCACTGAGAATTGTGGGTGAAAACAAATTAATCCACATCCCTGAACTCGTGGTACATTAAAGGATTTTTCCAACTAAAAACAAATGTGTACCAGCCTGAGACTCAGCAATGTGTGGAGGATGTTTTTTGAATAAAGTCGGGTAATCTTTCCTTAAATTGTCAAAATAATTAAATCATTCAAAATTCTACTAATAATTCTTATACTGAAATTTTAAATCTTTCTGTATTAACTTTGCAGTTGGGAAGAAGGGATTAGCCATATTACACAGCCTTATGTTAACTTTTCAGAGTGCTGTATAGTGTACTGACTGTTTTTGATGCAAACATAGGAGCCATTTTGCACATAGCATGGTTCCATGAACAGTCTTGTTGTGAATGACCAATTAATCTGGCAGATTGTTTGCTAGGATATTAGAGGAAGCTCATTTTTTCCCCCAAATAGCACCATAGGATTTTTAACATCTACCCAAACAGGCAGATAGAACCTCGAGTTTAACATCTAATCCAAATTTCTTGTCACTGTAAGGCTCTGGAATTTCAGAACTGTGAGCCTCAGGTATCAACAAAGTGGTACTTTTTACTGAGAGCAACTGTTATTGGAAGGTGACTATCTCGTAGGAAGGGAAAAAATAACATTGATGAATGAGTTATCTCAAGATCCTTTCCTCCATTGCAGGCAGCTGACCCTCAGTTAGTAATTTTCTACAAATACAAAAATTGGGAAATTATAGTAGATCTATTGTAAATTGAAAGACAGATACAACGATCAAGCTAAATGATGAAGAATATTAAAGCTTAGATCTTTTAGGTCACATTGACCATTGTTCAGATGGGAATGATCACAAGGGTCCAACTTGCTACAGCATTTTATCTTGATCGTTGTCCCATTGAAAAAACAGGGAATGTTTCTTTTACATTGGTATTGGGGGATATCTTGTTTCAAAAATCAGGCATTTCTAATATTAACTGTAAAAGTAAAATTATTGATGCTAGGCTTTTACAGGGCATTAACTTTTTAACACGATAATAATCGTTACATTTGATCAAAGCAGCTTACGTTATTGACATGTCAAAGCATGCCAGTATGTTTCATTCCCTTCTAATTTTAATGGTGGATCCAGATGTTAATGTATTAGTGAAAAGGGTTATTTTGATCATTCTGATGGACACTAAATTAGCATTTGTGCAGGAGGATACAATTAAAAATGTACTGAGGTGAAGAGGAGTGATCAGGTGCAATAATAATAATAATAATCCTTGCATTTGATTTAGCGCTTTTCACGTCGGGAGGACGTCCCAAAGCGCTTCACAGAACACACTGTAAAGTGAATTCACTGTATATTTTTGTGGGCGAACGCGGCAGCCAATTGCGCACAGCAATCTCCCACAAACAGTGTGCTGAATGTGGGACGCATTCAGCTGTAGAAAGTTGGTGCTCATCCATTGATGTCTAACAAGCAAGCGGGCAGAACATCGGTGGACCTGGGGTTGCAGCTCAAAGATGAAAAGTAGATCTGTGTGTCATCTGCACACGTGTGAAAGTTGCCCCCCATGTCTCTGGATGATATTAACCAGAAGAGAATATGTAAATCATAATTTGGTCACTCAATCCACGACTGTTTGTGGGACACTGCTGTGCACAATTGGCTGCTGTGTTTAACCTACAAAATATACAGTCAATTCACTTTACAGTATTTTCTGTGAAGTGCTTTGAGATGTCTCAAAGATGTGATAAGGCGCTATATCAAATGCAAGGATTATTATTATTTTATAAATTTAAGATGATCACAAAATAAATTGAAGAGGGAAAATGAGAGAAAAAAGTCCTTATTGAGAGCATTGGTGGAATATAGAATTCTCGCGTATCATCTTTACTGAGTCTGTAAGTCTCAGTCTGTAACTTAATTTAACAGAATTATATAAATGTTCAAAAAGTGGGATATTCTTCCTGGTTATCCTGTTTCAACCCATATTCTAGCTAACTGAATATGTATTTGTATCCTGTGTATTTGCTTCCATTTCTAATTGAGCTCATTCTGTAAAGTGCTTCAAGATGTTTATTTTAAGTGACAGATAGGATATAAATATAAAATGTTGATTCTGTTATCTAATCTAGAGAACTCCAATTCAAGTCTCGGGTCTGTCTGATGACTGAACATTAAAATTTATTTATAACTTAATTGGCTGACATTTTCATAAATAATGGAACATTCCACCACAGGAGGAAATCCATTTTTCTCGTGTACATGTTAAAATCAGTGCATTTCCAGTTTAATAGCATTTTGTGTTTTCCAGTAGTTGTACTGAATGTGTATCTGTGCTGTATGAAATCTGGTTCCAATTGCAATACCGTATCACATTAACCTGCAGTCTTGACAATTGGATTTATTGTACTGTGTAACAAGAGTGTTGAAACTGTGCCATTGTTTAGCGCTTTGAAATGCTTCACTGCAAGAAGGACAGTATATAATTACAAGTTGCTTTTGAATGAAAAAGATTTGAAAAACAAATGTGTGATACTATTGTTTAATAGCATACACATTGTCCAGTATTGCATATGATTTTACAAGGGTTAATGAGCAACACTTTGCATTTGGTATGTTTGTTTGCGAGACATTGCTGTGCGCAATTGGCTGCCGCATTTCGCTCACAAATATACAATCAATTCACTTTACAGTCTATTCTGCGAAGCGCTTTGAGACGTCTAAAGATGTGAAAAGCGCTATGTCAAATGCAAAGATTATTATTATTCAGTAAACAGAAGTAATATGTATGACTAGTATTGCACATTGCTGTGCCAAGAGGTTTACACATCGCTGAAAAGATTAAGTTCTGCATGGTCAAACAGGCTTTTTTCCCCTCTAATGATCACATTCTCTTCCTGCACTCATGGAAAGCATCTTCAGTAAATATAGTTTTCAATGTTATCAGATGATGGGTAAATGCTGAAATAAATTGTTGATCATTTTACAGTAGATTGCCATTGTTTGCCTGTTTGATATATTCACTGTCAGAAATAGCAAGGCCGTGGATTATTTTGTTCAGACTTTAAGGCATGCATTGCAATGTTTTGGGCTCCACGAAAAATCTTATCTTCCTTGTATATTTCATCTCAATTAGCCTTTGTAAGTTGAGACTTTGTGCTATTATAATTTGGTCTGCGTTCTGTACTGTGATTTAAAAAAGTATCTTAAATGTAATACTCTACTGTGATTACAGTAATTTCCTTAGTTTGAGTAATTGATACTTTACTGTTTGTTAACTTTCCTTCATGAATGGAACATTGCCACATAAGCTGATTTACAATGAATGATTAATGGATAACTTCCCATAAATCGAGAATTGACCTTACTCCATAATTGAGAATTAACCACATGTAACGGGAATACTTTTTTTTCTCAGATTCTCAAATTTGTGCATTTTAAATTTAATGTCAGAATCTTTCTGACTGATTAACTCACAATTAAGGCAAGAGTGCCTCCAACTGAGCCAAGCTGACACCGTTGTTCCAAATACAAAGCGACCTCACTTTAAAGGCGGCATCCTCACAAATGTTTAGTTATATGGGGGAAGAAAGTAAAAATTGTAACTCAATAGAGCAGTTAAAACCACATTTTTGAGAACAATATTATAGTGTATTAAAATTACCTTTATAAAAATAATACCTCTAGTATCACAGTGTGCTAACCTTTCTCTTGTACATTCGTTTTCTGACTATTTCTCAGCTTTTCTTTTCTTTCTCTCATTCACTGACTCACTTCTCTTTAAATGTTCACAATTAAATAAGTGCTTACTTTCTTTCTAACAGCAAACAAAAATCCAGTTGCATTTGATTTCACTAGAATTATGATTTAATTGTGTTGCACAAGGAAATTGCACTGCTAATTGAATGAGAACAATTTTTTTCACTCCTATCTTGTAGCCCTGCTTTGTTCTATTGTATTACTTAGTCCTTAAGGTAAGAATTTTGAAGCTGCAATTTAAGACCAAAATTTTTTGCCTTGTATTCAGAACAAAGTTAAAATTATTGCGATAAATTTATTCAAGTATGAGATTGTGTTATGATTGCATTGTATGCATTAAGTGCTTGAATTCCTCTGTTTGGAATAGATTGGAGGAGGAGACCAAGGAAAATGTAATTATTGCAGAAGAATGTGAGGTGGTTGCAAAAAAGAGGAAGAAGGATCACTTCAACAACAACACAAAGGCACAATGTAAGGTGTTCAATTGTGCATCATTTTGAAGTGAAAGAACATGTAGAAAGAAAGAAGCTGTTTGATTTTGGTATACAAATCTTGCTGAAGAAGTGACTGAACAATTAATGATTGAAATAGTCCTTTAATTGTATGGCAGGAATTTTTTTTTAAAAAAGCTTCCGTAATGTGGGGGGAAGGAAGTGTTTGAACCTGAAGAATGAAATGTTTAATTCTTTTAAATCTTGACATTATCTTTAGAAGTTAAGTTTGTGTGAAGTTTTGTAAAGTAATCTTAAATTCATTCTTGATTGAGAAGCTGTTTATTCATAGTATCCCCAAAAAAGGAACATTAGCTTCGAAATTAAAGCTGAACTAAATCTGTTTTCTAAAATTTAACATGAAATTTATATTAAAAACAATTTTGGTTGTGGTCTTAAGCCTAATACCATGTAGGACTGTGTGCCCCTGATGCCTTAATATTTGAAATGATTTTGTTTTCAAAATTGTGTATTTTTCTTAATTTTAAAATAGATTGTTAACCAATGGGTTGGTCACAAGTCTGTTCTTATGAGAGCTGGATCCAGTACACTCTATATTGATGATATCTCCTGGTTGTAGGATCCCATGTGAAATTAGTTTGGGTCGGCTTGATCTAGTTTCTTCTGAATGGGCCATTGACCAAACTTTTCCTTAACGTGCCACTATACTTTGTCAGCCTTGCTCAGAGAACTCTACTGGCTTATGTGGGAGATGACCATTCCTCCTTTTTTTGTAATCATTCCTCACTCTTGAGCACAAATGTTTACAAAAAAAAACAATATTCAGTTTGTAAATTTGTTTGCAGGTTATTCACTTTGTATGACTCAAAACCAATAGATGAAACCTTTTCTGTAGTATACTTTGGTTGAATCCTCATGTAGTTCCGCAACATTATTTTGCAAGAACCTTCTACCAATCTGGTCCTCAAGGTGCTGGAACATGGTTTTAAGCAGCATAGTTTACAGAAATTGTGTTGTTTGATGCTGAAATGGACACAATTGGTTTAAAGTATAGCTTGTTTCAAGGGTGTGCAATTTTGTTTCTATTTCTGAAGCGATTTTACAATAGAGGATTCCTGATAGAATGTAAACCATGAAATCAGTTGAACAGCTTTTATCTATAGAAACAACAAATTAACCACTAAGTATAAGTGATGTGTCAACTCGAGGGATCCATATCATATGGGGCGGGATATATTTTAATCTACACACTTTTAGAAAAAAATAAAATGTATTGCATTTCAAAACGTTACAGATTTGTGGCAGTAAAGTGGTTGGAAATGTTCTTGTTCTGATTGAAGTAACAGTGCTTTATAAATTGGTCAGAAAACAACATGAAAACAACAAATTGGTCAGAAAACAACATGACTCACCACATATGAACACGTTGAAAACGTATTACAGTAATCAAAATGTTGTCCAATTAAGAGTATAAAACTGTAGTGCAGAATAAACTAATGGATCAGTCAGTGTTGAATCTCATGGTTGTAGGATAATTTGGATCCAATTGTTATATTTTTCAGATTTTTGTCAGGAAAAGTGGATCTATGTTCATAAAGGAAGCACCAGAGAGGTAGACATTTTTTTCTTGGGTGATTTTCTCAGTCAGTTTGGATTTTATTTCACACTTGTTTTAATGTGTGTGTTTTGTTTGTAGAGACATGGTTATTGTACACTGGGAGAAGCCTTTAACCGCTTAGATTTTTCAAGTGCAATTCAAGACATCAGAAGATTCAACTATGTGGTTAAAGTAAGTCACTTGCACTGTACTAAGACACATGTACTTTTTAGGAAAAGAATTTTCATAATGCATTCGCTGCTAACATGCCCTAGTACCTTCCAACATTGATGACTTGATTTATTTGACTACTAATTATAGTGCCAGTCGACTGTTAATGTTGACTTTTGAATCAGTTAAGTTTAATTATGGAAATTATGTTAGTTAATGATTGTGTTAAAAGTAGAATATTTTTATTGGTCAATTCTGAGCAGTGCTTGATTCAACATATCAATGTTTATTTTATTTCAAAAGTTCAGAAACATTATCAAGTGGAGTAAATTAAATGTATGCCCCACTTGAGTTGTCCGCCCTTGAGTCCTCCAAATGTCTTCCTGAGCCAGGCAGGTCCACAGGTCCAGGGCGTTGGAGCTGGCTCATCAGCAGCACTGGGAAGGGTAGACCAATCACTAGGGCAGGGATTCTTCGCACTCAGCTCTTGTTCACCCTGTAAGCCAAAGCCTTAAAGGGTAGGGTGGTCATAGCTGGACAAGCAGTGGGAAAGCTTTCCAGACAGTGACCTTTTTGGCTTCCGTCAGCGCCTTCTCATCTGGCTCAAGAACTGGACTACCGAGAACATGACACAGGGTTGGCTCAATTCAGACATTCTGTTGCCAAATACATTACTTGAGGATGAATATATAGCTTTTATTGTATCAATAGAACTATATCTTAATAGACCCACGTATGTTTAGATAAGATTAACTGTGTACATTGACAGCAAACTTCTATTTTGAATATCTGTAACAAAAGGAATTTTGTTTGATTAAAAGTTCATAACTTTACTGGTTTTAACATTTTAACAGCTACTGCAGCTTATAGCGAACTCTCAGCTAACATCATTGAGTGGAGCTGCGCAGAAGAATTACTTCAACATTTTGGAAAAGATTGTCCGAAAAGGTGAATTATATAGCCCTAAAATACATAAATATTTTATAACATCTATGATTTCATCCCCACACTCCATAAATTCATGTTTACTGCACACTTAATTAGTTTCAGTTGTAGTATGTATTATGTTTTCAGAAGTCTTAATCTAAAATCATATTATAGAGAGTTTCTTTATTTTACAATATAAGCTTCACTTATATATCAAAAACAGCTGAATTTTCAAGCAGTGGAGAATATACAATGTTTGTCTTTCAAACACTGTTTTAGGTTTAAATTCAACCAATGATACGATATGTCTTATATACTACGTTAGTCTGTTTGCAAACTTTGGCGTAATGGTGCTAGAATCTCACTAAAGTTGAAACTAAGCTCTGCAGTTTTTTTCATCCAACCGCAGTTTTGGAATAGTATTGAAATATCGAAACCTCTAAGTTCCATACACAGGCAATTCTTGTTATAATGTGGTGGTTTGAGTCCATAAACTTAGTTTGCCGTGATTTAATGGGATGCTAAAAAATTGCAGCAGTTAGGGCTTCTAGGTCGTGGGCAGGGCCAATAGAAAATTGCAGAAATATTTGCCAAAAATTACAGGGAAAATAACAGGGAGTGAATGGGTGCTATTGAGAGGTACATTTTACTACCAATCTACATTTTTCACTTTACCGATTAAAAACCACACATGGAGAAGTTTCAGGGCAGGCTCGAAAACCCTGGAGATCCAGAAAGCAGCATTGCTCGCCAAGCTCACCAGTGTCCTGACTGCATAGCTGTAGGAGGTCACCATCTGCTGCCTCTCAGGGAGTTCCACTGCACACAGACACCCAGAGGGAGACATGCACACACAGACAGATACACAGAGAGAGCAAGAGAGAGACACGCACATACACACACTCACAAATGGAGAGAAAGGCACACTCACAGACGCCGAGAGACCACACGCACTCACAAATACCGAGACACAGGCACAGAGAGACACTCACAGACACACACACACAATCTCAACAGGGGCCATGGGATGACGAAGCTAATTCCCAGCTCACGCTGCACCACACATGCTCGTCCGGAGCTGCTCCATCCATAGTAGCGATGGGATAACCAGCCGGCAGAGACACAAGCGCCGAGGTTTATAGCGGAGGGGGTGTGTTTGTAGTGGAGGGGAGGGTATTTGTAGTGGAGGGGGGGTATTTGTAGTGGAGCGGGACGCTACCCCGTGTGAAGGGCACTAAATAAATGCAAGTTGTTGTTTGTAGTGGATTCCGCTACAAACAAACAAATCAGAGAGAAACAACGGAAAAATTGCAGCCGTACTTTTCTATTGGCCCAGGTCATGGGGTTTTCATCAGCATCACTTCCTGCTGGCTGCTTGTAAGAAGTTGGTAATCGCTCTTGACAGAGTCTCCAAAAGTTGCTAAGACACCTCTAAAAGCTGGGAATCCTTTTGCAACTTACTTGTATTGGTTGCCATGCTGGGACCATCAGAACAAATCAGAACTGAAACGTTATAAGTGTCTGGGGATACATATCACTACGCCTTCAAAACATGCGGCCAAACATCAAGCTTAGGGTATACAGTATTTCTTTCTAATTTGTCTCTTCTAGCCTCTCTTATATTGTACCTAAGGGAGATATAGGATAGGAATATTAAGCCAGTAATTGCCGTTTGTGTTGTACAGAAAGCTACCTTTTGAAATACATGGCTTCACAAGCTACAAGAAAAATGTCATGTTTTTCAATATTCTGACAATTTTGTATTTGAAAAGCAATTGTATATATAGATTAAACATTTCTAACCAATGGTGCAAAGTTGTTGTTGTGACCTACATAATGGAAGAAAAAACAGTTCACAAATTTCCTTCTACTAATTTTCACATGCAGGAATAGCTAACGCTTTGGGTACATTGCAAGTATGATCTTTGTGCAAAATTAATAGAGGCTTATCCCATTTTAGTGCAAGTTGTACATTTCTAATGTGGTGATTAGGTTGCTAATAAATCTTGATAATTGTTCCTCTTTGATAGACAGAGGAGTGTTTTTAGTTTACTGGTGACTTTTGAGGTTTTTTTATGTATGTAAGTCTAAAATTAAGAAAGTGATTTTTAAAAACTTAAAAAACAAATACAATTTAAAATGTTTAATCAAGAATAATTATAAGGTGACTGTTTAGAATACTATTCATTCTCTCTCATTTATGCTTTTACTATGGATGTTTTGTCGCTTGTTTTACTTACTGAGTAATCCATAATGTGAAAGTGGCCTTTTTAGACAAAAGCACAGCTCTCATATGTAGCAATACCCTTTTCTGGCTACTGTCTCAAAACTCTTGGAATGAGAAATATGTAGAGGCTTGAGCCCCCATAGTGAGTAAACATTTAGTTGGGCAGTTGGGAAACCTGATTTCAAATTCTGTTATTTGAAATAAGTTATTTTTAATAGGGACTTTTCACTTGAGTGCCTTTTATCTATTTTTTTCATTTGCTCTCATCCTGCTGAAAGCAATGCCCCTGCTGAGTAGAATTTATTTTCTCTCCCCCATGCCCCCCCCCGGCCAATTTTGGCACCCATCGCAGGGCCCAGTCAGGTGAACCATAGGCCACATCTAGAGTGTACTTCCATCTATTCTGCTACAACCTCATGTCTTACCCCAACCTATAAAGAGTGTAAATTTGTTGTTTGTTTTCTTCTGATTAAGTGAATGACTCTTCAAATGTGTTTCAGTAATTGAGGACCAGCAGAATCCTCGACTAATCAAAAACCTTCTGCAGGATCTTGGCTCTGCTCTCTGTATCCTAGTCCGAGAGGTGGGAAAGTCTGTTCTTGTGGGCAACATTAACATTTGGGCTTATCGTATGGAATCTATCTTAAATTGGCAACACCAGTTGAACAACCTTCAGATGAACAGGGTAGGCATGCCGAATCAACTTTCTTTACTGCCCTGTTTGTTTGGATTTTCTGTGAGCCTGATCCTCAAAAATCCTCAAAATGGAACTCTCCATGATGTTATGGGAACTCGTGTTTAAACAATAACTATTCAAAGCAGAAAAAACACTCATTAAGATTTTGTGTTTATAGGAAATAAGCACTGGTGTGACACTGAGTGACCTTCCACTTCACATGCAAACCAGTATTCTACACAGGTTTTCAGATGGTCTTGATATTATCAACTTGAGCCAGGTGACTTCTACTCTGCACATGCTCAGTGAAGACAGACATCTGTGGAAAAAACTTTGCCAATACCATTTTGCAGAAAAGCAGGTGCGTCTTTCAGATAAAGGGAATATGGCATTAAAAATACAATCTGTGTATAAAACTGAATGAATAACTTTTAATTGAAAAAACAATTCAGTGACCAACTGGTATTTTTGTGCAGTTTTGCAGGCATCTGATTCTGACAGAGAAAGGTCACATTGACTGGAAGCTAATGTACTTCACACTGCAGAAATATTATCCCAAAAAGGAGCAGTATGGAGATACTCTACAATTTTGCAGGCATTGCAGTATTCTCTTTTGGAAGGTAAGAAACGAATGCTCAGGCTTCAGTAAAATAAGGTAAACTCTCCCATAAGAGATTATAGTGTCTTCTATCTGTGTGTCTTTTATATACAGGAATCCTGTAGCTCAGTGGTTAGAGCACTCGCCTCCCAAGTGAGACACCTGGGTTCAATTCCCGGCAGGGCGAAATGTTGGTCAAGTTTCCTTACTCCACACACCTCTGTTTACCGAGCAGTAAGTAGGAACCTGGTTGTGAGTCAATTGGTGGATCGCTTTTCTGGGGATAATAATCCTTCAACAAAAATAACAATTTGGTCACTCAATCCATGACTGTTTGTGGGACACTGCTGTAGGCAATTGGCTACCACATTTCGCCCACAAATAGGTAGTCAATTCACTTTACAGTATATTCTGTGAAGCGCTTTGAGACATTAAGACGTGAAAAGCGCTTTATCAAATGCAAGGATTATTATTATTTTACTGGGGTCTACTGAAGTGTTGAAAGTGCCATCCTTCATATGAGACATTGAATCGAGGCTCTGTCTACCTGTTTAAGTGAAGACGTTGAGGATCTACACTATTTGAAAAGCAAAGTGAGTTTCTCCTGGTGTCCTAGCCACCAATAACCCAAATAAATTGGCCATTTGACTTCATGGCTGTTTGTGGAACATTATTAGTGTGCATATTGGCTACAGCATTCACCTAGAAACTACACAGCCAGTACAGTGACAACTCTTATTTGTATAGCACCCTTCACGTATAGCATCTCTAAGCATACACTTTCATGGAGTCCTATAGCTCAGTGGTTAGAGCACTCGCCTTGCAAGCGAGACACCTGGGTTCAATTCCAGGGAGGGCGAAACCTTGGGCAAGTTTCCTTACTCCACACACCTAATAATAATCCCTCCAAAGCAAAACAATAATAAATTGTTCCATGTGGAACAGGCTCCCTAGGGCAGCATTATCTTCTACGCTGCTGTGTGCAGTGTAAGGGGAATGCTGCGTCAGGTTTTGCTACTGTGCAAGCTTCTAAAATGTTAAAACTGAAAGTCTTGAAGTGGATCAGTAGTAAGGTTGTGCAGGCCAGCTGTACTGACAGTAAACATTTTGTACTCTTCTTGAAGGCATTGATACCTTTCTGCTTCTGACGTTCAGATGCATGGACACTTTCATGGCTGATTTTTTTGCACAAGATTGGTCTGGATAAAGAAGACCTTTCAGCCTATCCAATCTTATCCCTCCAGAACACTTTCCCCCCCCGCCCCCCCAATCACTGCATCAAGCAACTTTCTAAACGAGTCCAGTTTCTTGGCCTCCACGACCCTTCCTGGCATCCTGTTCCAGTTGTTGATTACCCCTTGCATAGAGAAACTTCCTGGATCTTTCTTGAAATTGGCCTTTACAATTTTAAACCTATGTCCTCTTGTTCTATTGCCTTGATGCAGCCTAAAGTATTCACCTAGGTTTACCTTTCCTTCACACACGCACACCACACACACACTTTAAAAATGGTAAAGCCTCAATGTTGGATATTTTAAAAATAAAGCTGCATGTAAATTAGATTGCTGTCTGAGTAAATCTGAATTTTAATTTGGTCTTTGGATTCATTGTAGCTTTAAATATTTTATTGAAGTGATCAGATTCATTCATGCTGTCAGCAGTATATAAATGAGATGTGAAAACTTTTAATTACTTTTTTACAGTTAATTTACTGACTAGCAACAAAGAAGTGATACAGATTTGATGGGCCGAATAGTCTCCTTTTGCCCTGTAAATTTCTAAGACTCTATGAAAGGATTTCTCCTAGATCAGTTTTCTCTCATACAATACAAAATTATATTTGTATAGCGCCTTTCACATATATATATTATATATACTGAATGTGAATGTAAAATAAGCAATAACTTAGGCTTTTGTAACCTAGAAGCTGGAATGTTGAGTATTTTATATTTGATGGCTTAATTTTCCATGAACTAAAACTAATCAGGAATGTCTGAAATCATTGGTGAAATCCAAAATAACTAGTTGCTATCTTCTATGTAACTTTTCTGCAAATTACGCATTTGATCCATATCAGGCAAAACTGCTAATGTGTAGAGGTTTCATGTAAGGAAATAAATATTGTAATCAACATCTGGCTTCAAGTTGATGTTGATATTTGAGAATAACTTTCTGCCTGGCTCTGTTTATAACCAAAGTGTTTACAGTTATATTGTGGATATTTTAATATGAATGTTTTTGTTAATTTTCTTTTGTTGAATTGGAAAACTGAAATATTGTGTTATGTTTGTGCTGAAAGAAATGTAGTATCCATGTTTCATCAGATCTTTTGAATTGGTGTCTCCCAGCACTATGTAGCTGCCAGTGCCTACCTGATGAGTGAAAATCTTCACTGATTTAATCCTTTATCTAATTAACTAAATTATTTATGTTTCATGTAAGGCTGAATTGGTGTGCAAGACTATAATTGGAAAAGTTAACTGCAAAGGATTAAGTCGGGGAGGATAAATCCTTGCTTCTGCTCTTTTAACTGTTCCTATTTGTCCTTTTCCCCTCTCCCCTTCATGCTTGCCCCTCCTGCTCCTTCTTCCTTGATCTCAAAGGACTACCATCTTGCTTTATTATTCAAGGTATTTTTAAACCTTTACATCCTTGAATTCCAGCTGCAAAATAGTTATTTTACCTGATCACTGATGGTCTAGTCACCGCATTTAAGCATAGTGTTTAAGGATAAGGACTTGCATTTTTAAACAATGTTAAATTGACTGTTTTGATTTATTTGAAGTAGTAAGATGTTCTGAATAGAAGATGTGTCAACCAGTACTATAATCGGCAAGAAAGTTCTTACATTTTATTAAAATTATTTTTTATTTTATTTTCTCTTTGTTAGGATACAGGACATCCATGTACAGCCAACAATCCTGAAAACTGCTCCACATCAGTTTCCCCTCAACACTTCATTGACCTTTTTAAGTTTTAAACGGAACCATTAACCCTTTTCAACAAAATTACACATTTCCTATTTTTGTAGGAGAGCAAATTCTTTGCTGCTTTTCTTATTTTAATGTGCAATACACCTTTTCCTCTTTCAGTGAAGGAAAGGGCTCAGTTTTGAACAAACTACATATGGAAGCACTTTTCCTACATCAGAAAAATAAATTGTATTGGACTTTCAGTTCAAAATACATTTCTGCAAATATAGTAGGTCTTTACCGTTTGATGTTTGCATGAAATTAATTTTAATTGAACAGAACCTTTGAAGTTGCAACTTGATCAATATTGGCTTTAAATACGCATTTTCACTTCTTGGGTACGTTGCCTGAAATGTAGTGCTCGCAAATGAATCAAAGGTTTCTTTTGATGTAATGCATTGTGTTTCAAATCTATTTGCAGAAATGTTGGCACTAAGTTTATAATGTGTTGCTTGTGTATGATGTATTTTTAAGACAAAAATGCACTTTCTCTGTTTTAAAAAGGCTGCCTTTATAAACAGACACTTGGCCCCTACAGAGCATTATGTATGATCACTGTTCAAGACTCTGCTATGTGCCATAGAATAGAACCATATTATTGCTTTGCAGAACTTGTCTTGCTTAATTTTTTTTAGAAACAGTGCACGTAGAGATGTACGGTATATTTTAAAATCATTCCAGGCATTTGTGGGCATTTACTGGGGTAAGAAATTGACTGAAGACAAATACCATATTGTTACATGTTTGAATTGTACAATGTAAAATTAATTTAATTCTTCCCACAAATAGAACAAAGGTCAGTGTTTTACACTTAAGTTTTGAAACACTGTGCAAACTAATGTACTGCCAGAATCTTGTGCAATGTAGATATTTTGGTAAATAAAGAAGTTAGTCAGTCGTGCAATATGTTTGATGTTGTACCATGTGTAGGCACTGGGAAATGTACTCTTCTCTGAGTTGCAGCTCTTTGCTGCTGGTTTATTTGAAATACTAGAATTAAGCATAATGCAGTTAGGACAGTTTCTATATTTGTGATCAGACAAATTGAAAAAACTGAAGAAGTACACGTGTGCACTAACTCGCTGCAAGAAATGCTAGAATGCATACTCATCCTGTGCTGTTGAATTTCAAATTATAAGCAGGCAATTTTAGTGTAGTTATCCAGACACAAGTCCATTCACCAGCTGTATTTTGTGGGTGAAATGTAGCAGCCATTTTACATGTAGCAATGTCCCACAAACATCCGTAGAGTCTGTGACCAATTTTATTTGAGGCATTGTTGGCCAGGGCACAGGGAGAAAAACTCCCTTCTCTTTTCTAATAGCACCATGGAATCTTTAATGTCCACCTAAACAGGCAGATGGGGCCTCGGTTTAATGTCTCATCCGAATGACAGCACCTCTGACAATGTAACAACAACTTGTATTTATATCGTGCCCCTCACGCAGAGTAGCGTCCAAGATTGCTTGACAGTGATGGAGCATAATGCCAGGCTGTGGGGACTGGACCAGAGGCACGGTCGCAGTGGAAGAAAGAGAAACCCTCCAACCCCCGGTTAACTGAAGGAAGAGGACAACTAAAAGGCCGTACATTTTTCTAAAATGCTACCATCTCCAAGTGAATCATTTACAATAATCCATGCATTTGATATAGTGCCTTATTATATCGGCAATGTCTCAAAGCACTTCACAGCGATTACCGTTAAGTGTAGTGACTGTATTGACTGTTTATAGGCAGCCAATTTGCACACAGCAATATCCCACAAACAGCCATGAATTGTTTTATTTGAAGGGATTGTTGGCCAGAACAATGGAGAAACTCCCGTCTCTTCCAAGTGCCATGGGATATTTTAATGTCCTCTTAAACAGGCAGCCGGGATCTTAGTTTAATGTCTCACCTTAATGTTGTACCATGGTGTCAAGCTGATATCACATTTATCTCATTAAATTTCTTATTTTTTACTAAATAGTTCAGGCAGAGATGCAAAAATGTTGCATGCTGCATGTCATCATGCAGTCTGGTTTATTGACTGAATAGAATCAACCCTCAGAAGGGATATGTTCAGCCAGGCTAGCAGTTGCGGAAGCTATCGTTACCTTCAACACTCCAGGTGATTGGGAGAAGGGGGATTTCAGCCAAGGAGTTCCTGGATCCGAAGTATGGAGCACACATGTGCGGATCCCGACTGTCCAGTGCTTTCAGACATCCTGATGTGAAAGGTGCTATACACATGTAATTTGTTGTTGATCATAGTAACTTACAGCACAGAAGAAGGCCATTTGGTTTCCAGGCAAGGTGTTCATTCAATCCCGCTGCCTGATATCCATACCGTTCAAACCTCTCTGTTTCAAACACCCGTATACTTCCCTCATGAAACTACAATGGTCTCTACCACTATAATTGGCAGAGCATACCACATCCCAACAACTCACTGAGTGAAAACAAATCTAAACTGTCCTTTCACTCTTCCTGTGATTATCATAACTATGGCCCCTAGTCACTGACTTCTAAAGCAGTGGATAATTGGGAGAAGAATGATTAGACCGAGCTATAATGTGTGATTGAATAACTATAAGCAGATGATGGTGTGAGTGACCTAATTTCAATGGTAACATTGCCAATCCTTAAAACTACCAGTTGAACTCATGCTAATGAATCCGGAATCAAGGAAGGAAGATATTCCTTCTTGAGGAATAGGAAAATTGGAAACAAACAGGAAATGAAAATTAAAATATTCTATTAAGCTTTTTCTTGCTGCTGGTAAAGGAAAAACTAACAGGATAATATTTTAATTAATATAGTCCAGACAATAATTACCCTGAGTTTGAAAGCTTCTTTTCATAATCAAGTTCACCTTTTTAAATTATACTTATTTACCAACTATGTTTCATTTCACATAAACACAAAAATAGTTTCAGAAAATGAGGATGACTAATATAAAGAAGGAATGCTTTATTAATGGTATCAAGTATGTCAACAATTTTTAATTTGGAAAAATTCTCCAGAGATTCTAATACATTTTTAGCAATAGACTAATATATTGCACTTTTTGAAAGAGAAAATTACCTTTTGCAGAAGGTTATTACTTTAAAGTTTAACAAGAAAAATATCCAAAGCTACATTTATCTTCACACCATAGACTTTGCATAGTTTTTTTTAAAAATTACTCCATTCCAAATGAATGCCACAGGGCATATTGTGTATTCTGTTTATTTTGATTGTATTGTATTTCATTGATTTTATTGGACAACAAAATCAAATAGAGGAGAAATCCAAATATTTTTAAAAATTAAACAACAACAACAACAAGATTCCATTTATTGAGCGTCTTTCACGTCGGGAGGACGTCCCAAGGCGCTGTACAGTTGGGTCAGCACCCAGCAGGGGGGAAATGGTCAGGAGAAGGGAGGGAGCGAGGAGCGGGTAGAGAGTCGTGAGGGGAGCTGAAGGCACGGTCAAAGAGAAAGGTCTTGAGACCGGCCTTGAAGGAGGAAAGGGAGGAGGCAAGGTGAAGGCACTGGGGGATGGAGTTCCAGAGCCTCGGGGCTGAGAGGCTGAAGGCCCGGCCACCGATGGTAGGGCGATTGGGGCGGGGGATGTGGAGCAGACCGGAGCCAGGGGAACGGAGGGTACGGGCAGGTAGGTAGGGGGATAGTAGGTCAGAGAGGTAGGAGGGAGCAAGGCCGTGAATGGCCTTGTAGGTGAGGATGAGGATCTAAAGGTGTAGAGAGAGCAGGATAGTGGATTAGATTGTCCCATATAGAGAAAAACACTGGTGCAAGATTGATGGGCCTAATAGCTTGTTAATGTGTTGTAACAATAATGTAATAATAATCCTTGCATTTGATATAGCACTTTTCACGTCTTCTAGACATCTCAAAGCACTTCACAGAATATACTGTAAAGTGAATTGACTGTATATTTGTGGGTGAAACGCAACAATCAATTGTGCACAGCAGTGTCCCACAAACAGTCGTGGATTGAAGTGACCAATTTTATTTTTTGCTTTTCTTCTTCTTGAGGGATTATTATCAGGCGTGTGGAGTAAGGAAAGATTTCGCCCTGCCGGGTATCAAATCCAGGTCTTGATTGCGAGGCGAATGCTCTAACGGCTGAACTACAGGACTCCACAATCTGTTTCTTTCCAACCCTGAAAGGTTAAAATTAGTACTTACACTTTGTATGTTTTAAAAAAAAGATTCATTTTTGTACAATTGAACAGAGGGCATTGCAATCTAACCGTTTTATATTGGTTAATTTCACAAGACTAAATCTTGAAGGAAGAATCTGGTTTAGGAATGAAAACCTACATTATTATACTGTTGCTTTTAACCATCTTTTATTTTATTTGAGAAATTTGGCAAACATAAAATAATACAGCATAAGTCAGGGATGAATCACTGGGCTCACCAAAGCACACAGCATCTCATAGAGTAGTACGGTATTTTGAATAATCCCAATGTATTGTATTGTCCTCAATTATCTTGCATTGTAGATTATTCCAAACATTTTTGTACTCCGATTGAAGATGTTTTTCCACAAAGTACATGCCAATTGTCTCATTATGTGAAATGCGGAATTTACTGACACTGGGGTTTAGTTTGCAGTTGGACTGGAGGTTCTGCTCCTCCCCCCAACATGTCTCAATGGCAATCTCTGAGAAATTGGATTCTGCATTCATATCCACATCGCAGCTTTCTACTTAAAAGCAAGCTGTGCTGCAATAGCGTTAATCAGCAGTGAAAAACTGCATTCAATCTGCTATTGAGAATATTGAGACCAGGGGGTGGTGCATCTCCCTTTGGCACATCCAGATAATTCATATTTCACATCTGAGAAGTTTCTAAATTTAAATCCCAATGTTAAGATCACTGGCCCATTTTAGATTACGTCCCTGAAAATCATAGGCAGCTGAAAGAAACGTTGGTTATCAGCAGCAGGAATTGCCACTGAGTTGCCTCCGGTGTCTGTCAGTCCCACAAACAAAACCCTCTGATGCTGCACAGCTGTTACAGTAACTGCAAAACTGCCTTGCGCTATCAAGCCAGCACATTGCCGGGGTAACCATGGCACTACTTCATAGAACAATGATCCATGCAAGATAAAGGCCACCGTGTGTCATTATCATTACTATAAAATAGGAGTGTTTTAAATTTAACAAAACAACATGAAACTGGAACACATGCACTGGGCAAACAATACTGCATCAAGAGTTATTCAATTTGTTTCCACAGGAGATCTGCAATAAATTGACTCACGTTGCTGCTTGTAAATTATATCTTCTCATTGAATGATTTAATTTAATATCACACATCTTTCTATGCAGAACCTTCTGTGAATGAATTAGTTCTGCAGGGTCTAGAATAACATTCATGCGTGTTTGAAATCTAACAAAACTATTATTCTTTAATAGCTTTTTCTAGGAATTATTCATTTGGTGTTCTATATATTTTTCTCTGTTTGAATTTTATAAAATGTTCATCTTTACAAATCTGCACAAAAATCATTTCTGTGGATATTATACAAAAGAAAATACAAGCGTAATCTGAAAGCAAGAGGCTTTCAGTATTTGAAGGGTTAACTTTGAGCAGTTTGACAATATTCAGGACTCAGATTGTTAAAAAACTAGATTCCACTAATCAGAAGTCACAGCTAGATGTCTCAATGCTTGGGAGGGGAGAAAATTGGGCTCGAGTCCTGCTACTGATTTCTATCTGGTTATTTTGTACAAATGATTATTTAGTGAGCAGATGATCAGGCTTCGAAACCACCATCACCATGGCTTCAACACCAACTTGGCTCACACATGTAGAATAGTATTAATGTCACCACCACCTGCAATCTGTTCACAGCATAAGCCACTGCCTTCAGGAAGAGGAGAGAAAAGCTGCTCTTTTTGTAAACAACGCATATACTATTATGCCACTGCCTGCGGATCAGGGTCATTGAAAAAAGGAATTTAAAATATTGATTCTCTAATACTATGAAAATATGAGCTGTACAAGATGAAGCATCTCACACCATTCTCCAAAGCCAGAATGGCTTTGACTCGAGCTATTGCAGGATCAAAAACGTCTACAGAATTCCCCCCCCAAAAATAGCCACTTTAAAATAATTATTTATATTCAGTTTGGAATAATAATGGTGGAGGCACATTCATTAGAGATTAACAGTTTAAGCAGCATAGTCCAGGAGCTCATCTGGTGAATCATTGAACTCCACAACAGGATAGTTGGGAGCCCAAATCGTAGCTTCGGCGGACATTCAACATCACTTTATTGAATGGTGTTTGCTTATTCTCAACAAGGCTGGAAAAAGCAACGTACTACAGAGCTCCATCTTTGGTAGGGGGAAGAAAGAGAGCGAGAGAGACAATAAAGTGTCAAGTACTGTCCAGTCCTACAAAAACACACCTATTGGCTGATTGTAGTCAATGGAGACCATAGACCATTCTGAAGCTCAACCATCCTTTCCTTCTGGATGGAGGAAAGAACACGGCTAGAGAAAGCAACAGGGAAAAACGAAACCTATGATAAAAATATAAATAAATAGAATTCCTTTTAGGCACTCAGTTCAACAGGTGTCAAATAGTCACAGATAATGAGCACTGATGGAACAATCTACAGCGAAAGTTCATTTGGATTGAAAAAAAACATAATTACATTTATTGGAATAATTCTGGCACATAATGGAAAAGGGCTAATTGGCTCTTCAACTTAATCAAAAGTGTGGTGATCAGGCACCGATTTCTTCACTTGTGCATTAAAATCATACAGAATTAAAAGCAACAAGATGAACTCCACAGGAAGTTACAAGAGACAGATAAATGCAACGAGGTGAAAACGGGGCACTGAGTCCTGGACTAAAAACGAGAACTGTGTGTTGAACATTATTCCAACTCCTCCCAGAGATCAGTTAGATTTCCTTTGCTGCGTCGCCTGATTCCAGGGAGCTTCCCCGCTGTCATGATGCTCCACCTGGAGCTGCCTGTATTTTCCTCACTGTCCAGGCTTGTGTATTTGGACCCGCTGCTGGCTTCACTCGCCCAGTCAGGCCAGGCTGCGGAGTCAGGCGGATCATCGTTGGGATTCTCAGTGATGAGTTGCGGATCCCAACCTTCTGCCTCCAAGGGAATCTTACTGGCTGCATTCTGTTTTATTCCTAAACTGTCCCAGAAGCTAGATTTCTTCTCCGTTTTGACTTCTTCCTTTAGTTTTACAGCAGTTCTGCAAAGAAACAAAGACGATTATATTCACTCCGAACATTTTGTTTCAATCTGCCTTCATATCGTAGCCAATAACTACTTACAGTTATACGATGGACTGATAAGTTTCACAACTGCCCTGTAATGCTCAACACAGCAAAGGGACAAATTTTGAAGTGATTAATTTATATTTTGCTCAATAGAAAAAAANCAGAATTGCCTGTGATGCAGAACTTTCTGATGTAAACCAGAGAATTCTAATGCAGAGAATTCGGATGCAGAAATAACCTGTGGCATAGAGTTCAGATGAACAAAAATGGTTCACTATTGGAATAGTTCACTATAGGTGGAATTTCAGGCCTCAAAATCTTAGAGTTAAGACTTTCAGCAGAACTCACTGGTTGTTTGGGCCACAACCCAACCACCTTTGTTTCTAATGATATATAGAAACTTCAGGCTGTTATAATTTGCTTTGCTCTGTTGCTATTATTGCTGCCAAGTTTTGCTATATGGCCTTGGATATGTGCAATAGACAAATACATCATTTCACTGTTCATACACAACATAACCATTAACCCTTTAGACCAGAGGAGATTCCACTGTTTATACAGTGTTCATACAGAAACCTCTTACCTTAGGCTGATCAGATTTGCACATTTACAGTTTGCGAACAGTAATGTTGAATATAAATCAACATGCAGTAATAATGCTTCTGAAACATCATGCTTTAATATTGTGTCATTGACCCGCACACTAATTCTGCTCACGCTCACGTCTTTTTTTCAGCTATGTCTTCTTTCCCATTCTCTCTGTATGATTATACTGGAACGGGTAGAAGAGATAAATGGGGTCTCCTTGGGCCTGAGTTGGCTCTAAGGCAATGGGATGTTCTGAATCAAGTCTCTGGTGGTTTCAGTCGTGTCTCATCAGCAATACTTAGAATGATAGGTCGTTCAATGGGAGCAGGAATTCTTCCAACCCGGCTCCTTTAATCCTGCAAGCAAAAGCCCTAAATGAATAGGGTTTTCTTAGCTGGATAAGCAGGGGAAAGCTTTCCGGACAATATTCTCAATGCCAAGCAATGTGGTTATAGCTGATTAAACTCCAGCAGTACCTCAACACTCAGTCTAGTCTGGGTCCCCAAGCCTCGGCTTTTGCAAACCTGCATCTAATACCTTCTTCCCTTTGATCTTTTTCTTACTTTCCCTTCCTCCTTGCTCTCACCATCCGTTTCGGAGGTGGGGGAAACTGCCAACAATTGTCATTTGATTCAAGACTTACTTCTTTGACTGTGTTTTCAGTCATCTTCCCCCTCCCCATCCTTAATTATAATTACGCGAATATGGTCACTCAATCCAAGACTGTTTGTGGGACACTGCTGTGTGCAATTGGCAGCCGCGTTTTGCAAAATACACAGTCAATTCACTTTACAGTATATTTTGTGAAGTGCTATGTGACATCTCAACGACATGATAAGGCACCATATCAAATGCAAGGGTTATAGCTTTTGTTTTTATCTGTCAAAAGGCAACAATATGAAGATTGATATTGAAATCTTAGATGTAATCAGGTTGATTTTTGATGTGCCTTTTTCGTGCGCAGACAGAAAAGGGCTGCCAACAGATGGCCATACCAGTCAGTGGCCCACAGAGCAGTACAGCCGGGTGAGCACACAGTTAGCCAAATATTTAAAAAGTAATTACATTTGATATCGGGCATTTTATGTCAGGAAGGTGTCTGAAAGCACTTCACAGGATTTACCTGTAAAGTGTAGTGACTATATTTTGTGGGCGAATGGAATGCACCACAAGCAGCCACAAAGTGAATGACCAATTTAGCTAAGGGATTGTTTAATAGTAATAATAACCCTTGCATTTGATATAGCACCTTATCACGTCTTTGTGACATCTTAAAGCACTTCACAGAATATACTGTAAAGTGAATTGACTGTATATTTGTGGGCAAAACGCGGCAGCCAATTGCACCCAGCAATGTCCCACAAAGAGTTGTGGATTGACTCTCCAAATTTTTTTTATAATAAAGTAACAGACAGGAAGCTTGAAAACTTGGGATACAAGTGTAAAATTCAGGGGAGCAGTTTCTGATATTAATTTATTCGGGCTAATTTAACAATTAGTTACTGCAGTAAATTAGGGTAGTGGACGGGGAGGATTATTGGCAAGAACACTTGCCAAGCGGGGAGCGGCGGCAGGACAGCGCGGGGAGGGGCTTGGGCCTACCTTTTCAGGTAGTATAAAGCTCGAGGCGGCAGGGAGTTCAGCTCGGGGCGGGGGGAGAGTGCGGAGCAGGTTAACCGCTGACGTCATAGTTTAGTTTCAGGAGTGTGAGCGCGCCACAGAAAAAAAAACCTCTGCGCCCCCCCCAAGGCTTGCATCAGGGACCACCATGGTCCTGTTGGGTTGGCTGCCCCAGCCCCAGCCTATGGGCTAATGCCATCCACCTGACCGCTCGCTCCCGGTCCCCACGTGCGCACTATGGCTGCCGCTCTGACCCTCACCCCCTCCCTCCCCCATCCTCCCTCCGCCGAAACCCTCCCCCCTCTGCATCTCTCCAACTCTCCTCCTCTCTCTCCGTGCCCCTCGCCTTCTATCCCCACTTGACCCTCCCACAACCTCCCTCTGTTCCAGCCTGGGAATCCTCCGCCGGGCTCACCGTGGCACTCGGCGTTGGCTGTCCAGCAGCAGCCACACCGACTGCCCCATTCCCCACCACCCTCACCAGCCACCCCAGATACAGACCCGGGGAGCCAACCTCTCCTCCCTCATCCCCATTACCCCACCCCTGCCCCACAACCTGGAACCCCCTCCCTCCCCACACACCCTTCTGTCAACCGCTCCCTCCACATTGGACTACAAAACGTCCGCTCCTTCTGTAACAAGGCCCTGATCATCAACGATCTCATCCTTGATGAGAGTGTTGATATCATGGCCTTAACGGAAACCTGGCTCACCCCAGGCGACACCTTCCCCCTCACGGAGGCCACACCACCCGGCTACACCTCCCACCACATCCCTCGCCCCAACCGCCGTGGCGGTGGTGTAGCCCTTATCTCAAGGACACCACTTACCCTATCCCCCTACTCCTCTGGCTCTTTCCCCTCTTTTGAACACCTCACCCTCTCCCACCCCTCCTTTCTCGCAATCAAAATCCTCCTCCTCTACCGGCCCCCTAAAACCTCTCCCACCTTCATCTCCGATATTTCTACCCTCCTAACATCTCTCTGCCTCTGCTCTGATCGCCTCATCATCCTGGGCGACTTCAACCTGCACTTTACCCCTCCTGCTCCATCTCCTCGGACTTCTCCTGCCCGCTCTCCTCGCTCAACCTCTCCCTCCACATCAACTCTACCACTCACAATCACGGCCACCCACTCGATTTGGTGATCACCCGGGGCCTCAGTGTCTCGGATGTCACCATTAGCGACAAGGCCGTCTCCGATCACCACTTCATCTCCTTCACCACCTCCACCCCCCTCCCCACCTCCACCAGACCCACCACCATCTTCTACCGCCCCTGGAAGAAGTTACCCCTACAATCCCTAACCACTGCCTTGGAGTCCTCTGAACTCCTCTCCCTCTGGCCTTCAACCCTCACTGACCCCTCTTCTGCTCTCACCCTCCTCCACAACACCCTCTCCTCCACACTCAATACTCTTGCCCCCATCACCTCCCGTACTGTCTCCTACTCTCGCTCCTCCCCCTGGTTCACCACCCACTTCCACTCACTGAAGAGCCAGGTGTGGGCCACTGAACGCACCTGCCTCAAATCTGGCCTAATGGTCCACCGACAAATCTGGCTGGACCTCCTCAAAATCTACCGCTCCACTCTAGCCTCGGCCAAGTCGTCCTTCTACTCCAGGATAATCCTGGAGGCAAAGAACAAGCCCAGGTTTCTGTTCTCTACCACATCCCGACTCCTCCGTATCCCCCACCACCCCGCGCAGGTCATCTCCTCCAACCTTCACTGCGAGGAGATGCTGGATTTCCTTGAATCCAAAATCAAGGGAATCCGCTCCGCGGTCACTGCCCCTCCAACTTCCCCTCACTCCCCATCCTTTCCCTCCCACACTCCGATTCCTAACCATCCTCCCCTACGCACCTTCGAACCTGTTTCCCCATCCTCTGTCACCAACCTCATCCTGTCCCCGAAACCCACCACCTGCTCCCTTGACCCCATCCCCACTCCACTCCTTATCTCTCAGCTCCACCTCCTTGCCCCACTTCTCACAGACATCATCAACCTGTCCCTCTCTGGCTCTGTTCCCATTCCCCTAAAAACTGCCACCATCACTCCGATTTTGACAAAACCCTCCCTTGATGGGTCGCAGCTATCAAGCTACCGGCCCATCTCCAACCTCCCCTTCCTGTCCAAGGTCCTTGAAAGAGTTGTCGCCTCCCAGCTGTGCTCTTTCCTCTCCACCCATTCATTATTCGAACCCCTTCAGTCGGGTTTCCGTGCTGCCCATAGCACAGAAACCGCCCTGATCAAGGTCACTAATGACATCTTGACCATCTGCGACCAGGGCTCCCTCTGCCTCCTCGTCCTTCTCGACCTATCGGCCACATTCGATACGATCGACAACGCTATCCTCCTCCACCGCTTTCCTCCCACCTCAACCCTCCTGATTGGCTCGCGTCAGCGCCTCCGCACCTCAGGCGCTGACAGCATCAGCATCCAAGGCTGCACTCTCCACCTCTCAAAGCCAGTCAGGAACCTCGGGGTTCTGTTCGACCCTGAGCTGTCCTTTCTCCCTCATATCCACGCCACAACTGGCATTGCCTTCCATCACCTCCGGAATATCGCCAGACTACGGCACTACCTCACCCCTCACGCTGCTGAAACTCTGGTCCACGCCTTTATCACCTCAAGGCTGGACTATGGGAACTCTCTCCTCGCCGGCCTTCCCGGCACCTCCCTCCACAAGCTGCAGGTCATTCAGAACTCTGCAGCTCGTGTACTGTCCCGCACCAGGCTTCGGGACCACATCACTCCCACCCTCGC